ATATATATATATATAGATAGGAGTCTGAGACACCGTTAGATTTGAGAGAAGTTATTGGTTGGTCTTACAGATCCAGATCTTCACTCAAGATCTCTCTCTTATCCTCTATACTTTGCAATTTCTGTGTGTTTAAAAAAACAATTTAGCATTCTTAAAATCTGTTATTTTTTAAAAATAACAGTATTAAAAAAATTAGAATTTCTTTTGCATTTTTTTTTAATATTAATAGTTTATTATTATTTTTATTTGTATATATCAAATCTTTTTTTATTGTAAGTGTTCCAAGAGTATGGGTTTGTATTTTGATATTTTGTGTGTATACTGTTAAGTATACATTTTATTTTCTTCATTAAAAAATTAAATAAAAAGTTTCATTATGTTATTAGTTTCCTTGGGGAAAAAAATAAACTATTATTTTTCTTAGTTTATATCAAACCTATTTCACTGTAATTGTTATTTTTCTTTATGTAAATCAAATATTTTTTTATTGTAAATATTCTTTTTCTTTTTTGGCTACTATAAGTACTGTAAGAGTATTAGGTTTGGGTATCTGTTGTTTTTTAAAATAACAATATTAAAATTTATTTTAAATTTTTTTTTTTTTGCATTTTTATTATTTTATTTTTTATATTAATAGTTTATTATTATTTTTATTTGTATATATCAAATATTTTTTTATTGTAAGTGTTCCAAGAGTATGGCTTTGTATAGATGTTTGATCTGTTTGTCACAAAGCACTTGGTATGATCTCCCTCCATTTTTATCATTTTTGATAAACAAAAGACAAAAAATGAAATTGTGTTGAGCTCCTCATTTTACAATCCATATTGAATGATACAAATAGTGTATACTGTAAAATCTACCGAAAAGAGTATCTATATACAAAAAATAAGTTTATTGAACAATGAAATTCATATAATTGGATTACATTTATCTTATAAAACAACTAAATAAATTACCTATATTAAAATTTATATTATCCGTTCAATTTTCTAAGATAAATTTGATCAAATTAATCAAAAATTTTATAGGAACTATTTTCTGGGTGAACCCTACAAATGAATGGTTGTTTGAAGCACTAGGTGGGCCTCATAGTGGGCATGTTAATTAAGTAAACCAACCTCCTGGCCATGTTTGGAAAAATTGTGATTTTTTTTTTTTTTAAAAGGTATTGTTTGAGTGGTATAAAATGTGATTGTTATAATAGGTATCAAATGCAAAATATCGTGTAAACTACACAGACTATTTATATAATTTATCTTCAATATTTATTATTATTTTTTTGGACCGGAAATTAATAGTTTTTTATTTAACTACTAGACAAATCATAATGAGTCTTCAAAGAGTAAGATGAATAAATCTGTCTAATAATTCTTTGGCTATTTAATTCTGTAATTTTTAGTTTTCTTTATGTACATCAAATCCGTTTCAATGTTACTATTTATTTTTCGTTATGAGTATTCTAAGTCTCTTGGGTTTTTACTTTTCTATTTTGTGTGCTTCTGTATATACTTATGCTTAAATAGTTTTGGAGTTTGTCCTGTTTTGTATGTTTCTATTTGGTATTTTTTTCACTTACTTTTTATTTTATTTTTGTTTCTCCTATTCAATTTTTTGGTTTGGCATAGGTGTGGAGATCTATCATGATCTAAGAGGATATGTTAATTAAGTAATAACCAACTTCCCTGCCCATGTTGTGTGTTTTTTTTTTTAAAGGTATTGTTTGAGTAGTTAAAATTGCAATTGTTAATTGACATATGGTGGGTAGGCTTACCAACTATAAAACCCATAATTCAGTTTTTAAAAACTTTTGGGCTTTTTGGGGCTTTTCCCCATAATTTAGGGTTATGAAGATATGTATTTTTGTATTTTTTTTTGTAATACTGTTAATTATACTTTCTGTAATACTAAATATTCCAACTAAATTAAACATTATTTTGCATTATATTTTTTTGGTGTAATAATGTAAATTTTTTTGCAGGTTGCTTTATGACTTTGTATTGTTCAGAATAAACAACTTCTCGGGTGATTCTTTATCTACACTTATCTACTTTGACTGTAAGTATTCTAGACTTATTGATGGATTATTGTAGAGTCCCCCCCTCCTCTCCCCCAAAATATAGAGTTGAGTATGCTTTATTTTTGCCCAAAGTTTCTCTCTCAAATTTTTTATTTTATTTTATTTTATTCTAATTATGATATATCAATTGTGATGAATCAATTCTTCTTTATTTTCACAAAAGCACACACACAAATTTAAGAATAAAGAAAAACCCAAATATGAAATCCAAATAAAAATTATAGAACAGACAATAGATATACAAGGAGGACACCAAAAGTGATTAAAATTAAAAATATATATATATTTTTTTCATGATCTTTCTCATAACATTATTTGAATTGTTCTTAAAAAAAATTAGAAAACAAAACTTACAAATATACTTGAAGAAAAATTACAATTATTTTAATATTATAATTTTTTTTTTAGTTGCATAAATATGTGCAACATTGTTACAAGGTAATTTACTTATAGGTTTGTATATATAACAAAAGTTAATTAGTACTTAAAATAATATGCATTATAAAAATACTAGCGGAATATTTAATCGAATGTTTGAAAAATTTATATTCAGTTTGTTTTTCAATTATATCTCAAGTTGCATACGCTTTGGCTCATCATTACCAGGTAATCTCTTTCACTTGTAATTTTCTTTAATTCTCCACAAAATGATATTAGTACTTAAAATAATATGCATTATAAAAATACTAGCGGAATATTTAATCGAATGTTTGAAAATTTTATATTCAGTTTGTTTTTCAATTATATCTCAAGTTGCATACGCTTTGGCTCATCATTACCAGGTAATCTCTTTCACTTGCAATTTTATTTAATTCTCCACAAAATGAGATTAGTACTTAAAATAATATGCATTATAAAAATACTAGCGGAATATTTAATCGAATGTTTGAAAATTTTATATTCAGTTTGTTTTTCAATTATATCTCAAGTTGCATACGCTTTGGCTCATCATTACCAGGTAATCTCTTTCACTTACAATTTTATTTAATTCTTCACAAAATGAGATTAATACTTAAAATAATATGCATTATAAAGATGTAAAAACAAACATATCAAAACACTTACATAAAGATATAAAGCTTTGTGAGTATACGAGTGACATTGCAGTTAAAAATCTCATAATATATTATTACTGCCTTTTACATAATTACATATAAATAACTAGAAAATATGAAATTAGTGTCTAATGTATAATGTAGGCACATTTTAAAAATAACTAAATTTCATCTACGTACCATATATATTATGAAAAATAAATAGTTAAAAAAACTTACATAAAAATACAAAGCTTAGGATATATTATTATTGTCTTTTACATAATTTTATATAATGTATGTACATTTTAAAAATAGCCGAATTTCATCTACGTAAGTGTTAGTTTGCTAACAATCTCAGGAAAAATGAATCATGATTACCCTGATACATCAAATTTGAGACATGTACAACAACAAAATCGTGAACGACGTCGTGTATACCTACAACAGAGGAGGCAACGCTCAGCTTTGGAGTCAAATGCTCAAACTGAACAACCACAAAGAGAATTCGAACAGTTCCGCCTTCAAAACATGAGCACTGAACAACGCTCAGCAAGATTGGAGTAACGTCGTCTTGCTCAGCGTAGGCGAAGATTGTTCATTCGCGAACAAAGCACGAGTTCTAATGTGCAACAAAGAGAAATTCAAAGGGAAAGTTTGCGTAATTACGCCAGACAAAGGAGGGCTGCTTTGACTACTGAACAGCGTGAAAGCAAGGCGACGAACAAATTATCGACAAAGAAGGCAAATATCTGAAAATCTTGAACAAACTTCTCATCCAGATCAAGCACATAATATGACAAATGCACAAACAAGTAGTAAGTATTCAAATTTTGTAAATGTTTTTTTTTTAAAAAAAAAAGCTTTTACACTTCCAAATTTTACATTAATATTCATTTAATTTATTATGTACAATTTTAACTGTTAGGATGCATGTTAAACTTTTTCGATGCAATCCCAAGAAGAAATAGAACAGGATGGCGTACGCCGAGAGCAACAGTTTTGCCAACCATTCACGAAGAAGGGGATTTAGTTGTGACTAATGTTTTTAGTCGTGAAAGTAGAATGACTCTACGCTCACGTATCGACTTATTCCGATATGCACCTACTCATTCGACTTATGAACATGGAAGCACAAGTGGCAACAGACAAGATGATACTCACGAAGTTCATATGGAAGGTAAAAAAAAATTATTCAGTTTAAGTACTTTTACAAAACAAACAACCTTTGCAATAAATGTAAAAAAGATGGCCATGCAAATGTGATATGCAGTACAATTACAATTAATATTGAACATGCAACTCAAACACTTTCAAATAAATACTATTCTATTAATAATAAACCTATATATCATACATGTATTGTTATAGTAAATATCCCTCATGTCGACCACAATCAAGATGCTTTCAGTGATGAAGATATTCTAGATAATCGATCATTTATCCATAGGAGATATCACAATTGTGCAAGAAATTTTCATGAAAGTGAAAGGTTCCAAAGAATGCAGTTTCCTGCTCCAACTACATGTAGACATTGCAACGCAAGATTGTTCCACCGTGAAACGTCTACCATGTGTTGTAATAATGGAACCATTGTTTTGCCACCAGTAACAGCTCCAAATGAGATGATTGATATTTTCTCTGACCAAACAGTGGAGGGTCGTCATTTCAGACAAAATATTCGATCCTATAATCATGTTTTCTCATTCACTTCAATGGGTGTTCATGTTGATGAAAACTTAGCAACAAGAACTTGAGGTGTGTACACTTTTCGTGCACAAGGATCCATATATCATAAGATTGGGAGTCTCTTACCAAATTCTAGCGACAGACCGAGATATTTGCAACTGTATGTTTATGACACTGACCACGAGAATGAGAATTGAATGTCTGAAAATAGAGAATTACACTTGGATTTGCTTGACAAGATAAAGAATATTTTAAATGCTCATAATCCATTTGTACACACGTTTCGCCAGTTAGCTCAGCGTCTAGATATACATGAATGCAGACTTCAGATCAAAGAACAACCACGTAATAGGCCCCAATACAACCATCCGACTGCTCCTGAAGTTGCTGCAGTTTTAGTAGGCGGCGAAGAAGCAGGAAACTTAAGACCAAGAGATATCATTGTCCAATCAACCAGTGGTCACCTCCTAAATATTCCTGATATTACCGGATATTATGATCCATTACAGTATCCTCTGTTGTTACCCTATGGTTCATATGGATGGGATGCAAATAGCAGAAGTAATGATGGCAGAAAAGTAACATACTGTGATTTCTATTCTTATATGCTACAGGTACAACGTACACATAATATCAAAAAATTACTTCGTCGAAGTTACTTAATCTATAATTATTTATAAGTATTCAACTACTATCAATTCAGATTCGCCCTAGTGATCAATCTCTTTTCCTTCGAGGAGGTCGCCTCTTACAACAGTATGTTGTAGATAATTACGTGAAGATTGAGTCCAACAAATTAAGATGGATACGTACTCATTAGAATCACATTCGAGCAGATTTTTATCAAGGTCTTTTAGATGCAGTACATGCTGGTGAAAATTATGAAGGTACAAATTGTCACTACAACTAATGTATTCACGTTCGTTTATATTCATACATATAATTTTTTTTTTGTGAAATCCAAATTTGGAGCAGGTAATGTCGGTCGTAGAACAATATTACCGTCGTCATTTGTTGGTAGCCCATGAGACATGTATCAACGATATCAAGATGCAATGGCTCTGGTCCAAAAGTATGGAAAACCTGATATTTTCCTTACAATGACTTGCAATCCAAATTGGCCTGAAATTAAAGCTGAGTTACTACCTGGATAGTCACCACATGATCGCCCTGATTTGCTGACAAGAGTATTTCATTCAAAATTTGATGAGACAAAGACCGACATTCTTACAAAACATGTACTCTGGAAGGTTCTAGCATATGCATATGTTATTGAGTATCAAAAAAGAGGCTTACCACATGACCACATGGTCATTATTTTGGATGAAAATGATAAGTTACGCACTCTTGACGATTATGATAACATTATCATAGCTGAAATTCTAGACAAGAGAATAGAGCCTAGATTATACAGTGCAGTTCTGAAACACATGATACATGGCCCATGTGGAATGTACAATGAACGATCACCATGTATGACAAATGGTCGGTGCAAAAGACGTTTCCCAAAGCCATTTTCTCCAATTACTACACTTGGAAACGATTCATACCCTGTTTATCGAAGAAGAGAAGGGGAGTCAGTTCCATTAGAGAGTAATCCAAGCATCTTGGTGGATAATAGTTGGGTCATTCCATACAACCCATGGTTGCTCTTGGAATATGATTGTCATATCAATCTTGAAATTTGCAGTAGTGTTACAAGTGTGAAGTATTTATACAAATATGTTTATAAAGGGCCTGACCGTGTTGCACTAGAAGTTCGTCAAGGTCCTAATTATGACGAAGTACAACAGTTCATAGATGGAAGATGGGTTTGTGCTCCAAAAGCATTATGCAAAGTATTCAAATTCCTAATGACCAAAATGACCTCTAGTGTAAAATGCCTCCAAATACACTTACCAAATAAGCATCAAGTGAGATTTTATACATTTCAAGACATCACAAATGTTTTAGGAGATAAGTATTATTCCAGAACAATGCTTACCCAATTCTTTCAATTAAATGTTGATGATGAAACTGCAAATCGGTACTTATATCGAGAGATCCCGCAACATTATAGATGGTGCAACAATGCAAAGATGTGGCAATTGAGATTGAACCATCCAAGAGTAATTGGTAGAATTTACACAGTTTCGCCATCAGAAGGGGAGAGATTTTACTTGAGAATTTTACTCAATCATATCCGAGGACCAAAATCATTCGATCATTTGTTAATGGTTAATGGAATTGCGTACCCAACTTTTAAACAAGCAGCTGAACATCATGGTTTGTTAGAGCATGATGATAGCATACGACAATGTTTGTTAGAAGCTGCAACCATGCACATGCCATCAGCTTTAAGGAGATTGTTCGTTACAATTTTGGTTTACTGTGTGCCAACAGGGGTGCAAAGTTTGTGGGATGAAATTTATCCTTTCTTGATTGAAGATTACATATCTTCAAACAGTATGAATAATATGTATATCCTTAACAAAACCCTGCACGACATAAACTGTCTCTTGCTACAAAACCCTGCATAATAAGAACATATCAGAATACGATTTGCCTGAGATGACAATGAATTTGGATGATAATTCAACAGTTCCAAAGGTCATACAAGATGAGCTTTCCATTGTAACTCCTCGAGAAGACTTAAATTCCATTGCCACGTTAAATAATGATCAATGCTTAGCATTTAATTCAATCATGGGGGCTGTGGAATGCAATACTGGTGCAATCTTTTTTGTGGATGGACCAGGAGGAACTAGAAAGACATATTTATATCGTGCACTGTTGGCCTCAGTGAGAAGTCAAGGTCGAATTGCCATTGCAACAGCAACTTCTGGAATTCCAGCTACGCTTTTACCTGGTGGAAGGACAGCCCCATTCAAGATTCAAGATCCCATTAAATCCAGAGGCTTTATCCGTGTGCTCCATTACTAAACAATCAGATTTGGCAGAATTGATTAGACATGCAACAATCATCATTTGGGATGAAACTACAATGACGAATCGTTATGCTTTTGAAGCTTTGAATTGAACACTCATAGACATCACTGCTGTTGATTATCCATTTGGTGGCAAAATTATGGTGTTTGGTGGTGACTTTCGTCAAGTACTTCCAGTTGTTCCTAAAGGTACAAAAGCTGAAACTATTGCTGCATCGATAGTCAAATCACCTCTTTGGAGTCACATTCAAATACTTCGTTTAAAGCAAAACATGCGCTCTATAAATGACCAACAGTTTGGTGAATTTCTTTTACGTGTTGGAGATGGTGTACAACCTACCATTGGAGATGAAATCAGGGGGATCCTTTATCTCCTTTTTTGTTTATCCTTGTTATGGAGGCTTTTAGTAGATTGCTGTCCAGGGCTATTCATGAAGGTCTGTTGCAAGGTTTTCGGGTGGGCTTGTTATCAGGGACAGCAATGGGGGTGTCTCACTTACTGTATGCAGATGATGTTTTGGTTTTCTGTGATGCGGATCTGGTGCAGTTGGGCTATCTTCGATGTGTTCTGATTTGTTTTGAGGCAGTTTCGGGCTTACTGATTAATTTAAGCAAATCTGAGTTGATTTCGGTGGGAGAGGTTGAGAGGCTGCCAGTATTACTGACGGTTCTAGGATGCAAGATGGCCAATTTACCAGTGACTTACTTGGGTTTGCCTTTGGGTGCTAGTTATGATAATTTCATAGATTCAGAGATTTTAACAGGACATTTCAAAGGCACGAGAGTTTTCCTGCATCGCATTCCATTAAAGGCTCCGGAAAACTTGAAACTTCCATTTGAAATGACTCGCACACAATTTCCAGTTCGCCTTAGTTTTGCTTTGACAATAAATAAATCACAAGGTCAAACAATTCCACATGTGGGAATTTACCTTCCGGATCATGTATTTAGTCATGGACAACTATATGTTGCTTTATCTCGAGGGGTGTCAGATCAGACAACAAAAGTCTTGGTTAAAAAGGGTTCAGTTAATAATGAAGAAGGAGTGTATACCTGTAATGTAGTCTACAAAGATGTTTTGTTACCAAATTATTGATGCATGAGGTATGTACTAAATATGTTCTTATTTAGCTTATATTATGTCATTTTTTTAATCTACAATTAATGTACTTATAATATATCTTCATATAATTATTAATTGTAGGAATACTTGAAAAAATAAAACTACTTCAACTTTGGGAGAATTATCAAGATGGGGCAAATATGGTTGCATATAAGAAAGTTACAAATCAAGTATTGGCTTCACTTATGTTCAAAAAATTATGTTTGTAAAATTTTTGTTATTTAGTCTGGCAACATTCACATATATTTTGAGTTTGACTATACCTTTTAAATTAATGTAGGTCAAACAGTTCTCCATATACAGTCTTGGATGGAAGGTCTCTATTAAAGTTGATAAAAAACAATTGGGAAAATTAATCGTGCGAGAGCTTTTGAGGCAACGACAACATCGGTATGATAACGTGTTTGCGGGGCATTTTATATGAATCATTTCAATATGTTACATTGCTAATAGTTATCGTACTTTTTTTTAACAGAAATCCTCATATCTGATAGAGCAAGTATATGCAGCAAAGACAATATGGACATATATGTGGTAAAAATCAAGTCTTATGAAGTTTACTACTATGTTCCATATATTCATATTTGTAAATTTACAATTTAATCTTAGATTTCATGCATTTGTCAAACAATCAACTTACAAGGAAGTGATATATTTTGCCTCAGTTTTATAGGCAACAAATGATACAAAAATTGAAAGCTTACAAAGATATGTGCACCGTCGTTACAAGGTAATCTACTTATTGATTTGTATGTATAACAAAAGTTACATATTTCATTTTTTTTATCAATTCTATCTTATTTTTTATAGTTTAATGTTGTCATAGATCTGTGGCAAAAATTGCATCAAGACAATTTGAAGAGATTGTTGAATGTGACGTGTGATTTGGACTATGTCAATATATGTAAAAATGTAAGTTTTTAATTATGTTTATAAAAAATTAACATAATAATTACCTTTTGTGTCTTTATATAAAATAAGTCAATTACAAAACCAAAGTAATTATTGTACTCTATTGGCTAAAGTACGAATATGTATAATTATGCCTCACTTTAAGAACGTAAAATTTTAATTTAATCAATGTATATTATTAGCAAACTAATTTTTACATATATCTTATATATTTTTTGCAGGATTTGCAGGATCTCCAGTCTCATGTTACCAAATTTAGATTTTATATGAATTTTTGTTGTACATATTTTTTAGTTAAGATTAGTAAATATTGTATTTTTTCAAAGATTTGTACATCTTTTAATGTATGTGTATTTTATTTATCAAATACGTTAATATCAAATATTACATTGTACATAGTTACTCATTTTATTTATATGTATATTGTTAGAAAAAATAATATGAAATTCATATTATAATTCAAAAAGAAATTGCACACGCATCGCGTGTGCCCGACCGCTAGTATATAGATATGTTCTCAAGAAAATGGTGAAAAAAAGGTAATGTTTCAATTAGGGCTGTTCTAACCACCAATGATCCTCTAGAGTGAAATTTTCTTAAAGTTTCCTAGAGTCCTACATTGTGTGGTTGAGATTTACTGGCAAGTCACTCTAGAGGATCCTTGCTTTGTTCTAACACATTATTCGTCTGAAAAAATGGACCAGTTCAAGCCAGTTTGACCAGAGGCTCATTGAAAATCGACAGTCGACTGCGGTTTTGAAATGTCAAAATTCCTATTCAAGTGGTTGATAACGGCTTTAAAAAATAAATTTGAATAGACAGTGAATGGATGTGATATTATACTGGTACGTAGATAAAAGTGTTAAGGGATGTGATAGATTTAGATTAATGTTACTTAGCGTTGTAAATAGAGATATGAATCTATTTAATTTGACTAACGAAATAACTTATGATAAGGCCGTGTGAAAAAGAAAAATTCATGTAACCGATCCCATTTGATAAGATTTAAGATTTAATTAGATTTAGTTTAGAAACCAAACCGGGCAAGGTATATATTACAGGAGTGCCATGGGTGTAATGATTGCAACTTATCAACCATTATATCTACGCTGATATTATATGTATTAATTAATATATTAATTAATGTATTAATATTAATTATAATATTATTATTGATCTCATTTATTATATAAATTATAAATATTAAAAAAAATTAAATTATATCATATCTCCATTAATTAATATATATAACATTATCTTTATACCTGACATTCTTTAGTTGGAGCATTAAATTACACTAATCAATATCACTATTTCTCACCCACTAAAAAAAAATGTGATTGGAACCCCTCAATTACCAATTCTCACAATCCCTATGCACACGTGGCGGGTGGTGATTGGAGAAGAAAGAAAAAAAAAAAAATTGACTAATCAAAAAAGAGAGGAGGTAAAGGGGTGATGAGAAAAATGGTCTTGATTATTTCTAAAAAAAAAATTACTACTCTCTCTCATTTTACTTTATTAATAGGCTACCCCATCAATTCAATCTTGTCAGATAGGCTATCGAGTTACTGCTACGTAGTGCGCACAACAGTGAGCAGTGATTGTTGTGCATTTTGTAGGGTCTCTTTTGGATCTTATTTTAATTATTACCGCTGCTAGTTTTAAAAGTAGAGTTTTGAATAGAATTATATTGAGTTTGTAGTTTAAAAAAAAAAATTTATTATAATATTATATGTATTAATTAATATATCAATTGATAATGTAATATAATTTTAAAAAAATTTAGTATTTATAATTTATATAATGAGTGAGATCAATAATAATGTTATAACTAGTATTGATACACTAGTTAGTATACTAATTGGTGTACGTAATACCACCGAAAAAATTAAAGTTAAAACATCACATCATAGTGAGACCTACCCTCCATTAGAGTTATTATAGCGCACAAATTAGAGCTCCAAAATATTTTTATTTATTGTACAATTTATATTTTAGAGAACATAATGTAGAATATATATGTAAAAAATTAAATTAATTAGATATTGATAATTATTTTAACCAATTATATTTGTATTTAATTTTATACTTACAATCATATTTACAATTCATTTTTTTATTTACAAATATAATTTAATAAAAGTACTATTGATGTCCAATCAATTTAATTTCTTATAAATATGTTCTATTCAATATTCTCTATAAAATAATCAATTTAAATCATTAAAATAAAATTTAAAATCAGTCTCACGAGACGTACAACAATCACTGTTATGCATCATTAAATCAAAATTTAAAATGAATCCCACAAGACGTACAACAGTCACTACTATACACTCTATATGTCCTATGAAATACCTCACTTTCTCTTTGTTTCTTTTGAAAGAGTAATTTATTTTTATTTTCTTCATAAAAGATGTGTATTAAATTTTATTATATATCTTCCTTTCTTAATTATAATAACTTACTTCTCCAAGAAAGAAAGAAAGAAAGAAAAAAAAAAAAAAAAAACTTTCTCTTTTTTCTAAAAAAAAAAAAAAAAAAGAAAAAGAAAAGAAAGAAGAAGAAGAAGGAGGCCCACTTCCTTTATTTTATTACTTACCCACCATATTCCATCATCACAACTCTTCATCTCCCTATCTCGAACTTCAAATGAAGAGTAATAGTTCCATATTTTCTTGCTTATGTTGGACTTTTCTATACTTGTCGTCTCATTTTCTTTTGACTCTTCTTCTCATGCAGATCTTTATTGCCTTCAACTTATAATTTTTTTATTTTTATTTTTATTTTTATTTTTTTTTGGGTTTTTGGATTAAATGTATTTTTTTCCCATTACATCTTCTCTCTTAACCTCTTCTCCTCTCCCATCTCTATCCTCTATAATTCTCTTTTTTTGACTGCGATTTATAAAGTATAAATAACGTATATATATACATCTCTCTATTTTTCTTCGATGTGTAAATATATATATACACTAAGCCGCTTGGACCAACAACGATCACGAAACTGATTAAGTTCTGCGGGTGGCTTCAATGTATAGATCGGTTGAGTTTGTTTGGGAACTGGGTTGACTTTTTGATTTTTTTTAATTATTTTAGTCTGAGGTTAAAAAGTCTAATTTAGGAGGGACTTAATCTTTTTTGACTTTTTTATGAGAGAAAGAATGTAATAATTATAGGTTAGATGTGATTTTTTATTCTATTAAACTAAAAAAATTATTTTATTTTTTATGATTAAAATAATTCAAAAAAAATAAAAATATAAAAATAAATAAATAAATAAACCTCAACTTTTGTTTCTCAAACGAAGCCTGAACTTGATTCTATCGGTTCAAATATCGAGGCAAGGTCAAATTGGAACTGTGGACAGACCTAGTTACAACGTACGCCCCAAAAAAAGAAGTATACCTGTGGGGGCCGAATAAAAATGAAATATCTTTAAATTGCTGTTACATCAAAGCTTTACAAAGGCCCGATGGGCCATAAGTCATTGCCGAGTAGGTCGTTGTAAACGGCAGGGCCCAATTAAAACCAGGCTGTCCAATATAGAGAAATGGCCCCTAAACAGATGAGTACATGATCAAAAGCACTATAAACGGTGAGGGCTGTCTCAGACAAGAGGTATGGAGAAAAATATTACAAAACTTGTGAGAAAAGAAAGACATTAAGAAAACAAATACTAATTTGTTTGTTGGAGTGCTAATTCTGACATTACGACCGGAGTGTTCATTTCTATTTCAGGTAACATCTCAAAGATCTCGAGAGCCTAACTGGATAGGAGAAATATTTCCAAATCCACGATTCCACAGCATTGTATGCTAGTTGTAACACTTTATGATGTTGATACAACAAAGTGTTATAACACTTTATAGTGAAAAATGAATATTATCTTGCAAAATTTTAACGCTTCAAAAATTGGATAGATTATATTGACCTCCTTGAAGTTTTAAAAAAAATACAATAGACCTTATGGTTTTGACATAATTACATTGATTTCTTTTTTAATAAAGTTAAAAAGTTAAAAATTAATGCAAATGATATGAAATCACAAAGATACATGATAAATTATAAATTTCAATGTAAAAGAGATAATAATATAATTTTTTTTTAAATTTATACTACTATCGAATTTCGGATTAAAAGTGGACAAAGTATTATATGAATTAAAACATCAAGAGATCCTAGTGTAATTATGTCAAACTTATAAGGTTTATTAAACTTTAGAAAAAGGCATTGTAATGTACCCTAAAGCATTTTTTTAAGAATGCCAAGATCAAAGGTCCATTTTTAAAATTGTTGAGCTAATAGACACAAGCTTAAAATTTTTCCAGGGCAAAAACACATTATTTATCCAAAAAGACACTATTTGTCTATGCTTAAAAGTCACCCGTATGTTCGAATGTCACATATTTGTATATGTGTCACTTATTTGTCTAACTATATGTTCAAATGTCACTTATCAGTAAACGTGTTATTTATTTATATAACTATGTTTTTCAAATTATTACACCTATATCATGGTGAGCATGGTTATACACCATGTGAACCACCCAAGCCGCCCTCTCTAACGTACAATCCAAGCTGCCCTCTCTGGTGCACAATCCAAGCTGTCCCTTATGGCGCACAACTATATCATGGTGAGCATGGTCATACACCATGTGAACCACCCAAGCCGCCCTTTCTAACGTACAATCCAAGTTGCCCTCTCTGGTACACAATCCAAGTTGTCCCTTATGGCGCACAACCCAAGCCGCCCTCTCAAAAAAAAATATATGTATTATACCTATATCATGGTGAGCATGGTTATACACCATGCGAACCACCCAAGCCACCCACTTTGGCACACAATCCAAGCCGCTCCCTTCTGACACACAATCCAAGTCGCCCTCTATGGCGCACAGCCCAAGCTGTCCCCTGGCTTGGATTGTGCGCCAGAGGAGGCGGCTTGGATTGTGTACTATAGGAGGCGACTTGGATTGTACGCCAGAGAGAGTGGCT